GGGGGGGGGGGGGGGGGGGGGGGGATAATGCTCTTCTCTCTTTGTTTTATACTCTATTAGATAGAATGCTCTAAAAGTAGTATTGATTTTTACCAGTGTTTTAATGAAATGTCTTTTAGATTTTTATCATAGCCCTTTTGCACTCTACAGAATACAGGCATAAATCCAGTGGGGGATTATCTGTTAGAAGGCAAATTCAGTCAACAGAAAATACTCAGTAGTTAGCATTGCCACTCTTTTGACAGTAAGATTTTCTAACTGGGTGTGGGTTACCATGATTAGCTGCTTCCCATAGGAATAGTTTTTGCGTTCACCTTCTGGTTGATTTGCTGTATTCACTAGACATTCCAAAGTATGTCTGAATCTTATTTGGACATAGTAACTCCCTGTTTCTGTACCCTCAGCTACAACATCCTCCATTACCCAAGCAAGGAACAAACAAGGAGATTTACTAAAATTGAAGCAGGAGAAGCCTTTAGAAAAAGTGTAATTCAACTTCTCTTTGAGATTGCCATCTATGATAAAAGAATCAACAAAGGTCCCATTTCACTTCATGCAAACGTCAAAGTTCTGTCAGAGATTGTGTTGGCCCCTGTTTAATTCTTTAAGGTCAGGTGGTGTAAAAGGGAAAGTTTAGTTTTATTGTGTTTGTATTTTATAATATTTGAGGGCTAGTTGTTAATGTTAAGTTCTAGGAAGTAAAAGATGTTTTCACATAGTAGGGAATTTTAGTGCTGTACCAGCTTAGTTTTGGATTTTGTTGTGCCATCCCAAAGCTTTCTAGAGTGGTGCCTCTCTAACTAGGAAGTCTGTCCTTGTTAGGAGACAGTGGCAGTGCTTCCAATTTATTTCCAACCATCCATGGCAAGAATGGAGTGAGTTTTTGCATTCTTTCATCACTTCGTGTAATGGCACTGGTGCAAATAAATCTGTAAGGTTATTAGTAGTTTTGAGAATTGCTCCCTACTCACTACCCATGAGTCCATCCTTACCTCTAGTTTCTGTCTTTCTGGGGATGTATATAGGGTTCAGCTGAGGTTCTTTTCACATGCAGTGAGATCTTTTTCCAGTTCTAGTCTCTGCTGTACTATATTTTCCAGAAATTCCTTGAAGTGGAATGTGAATGATACCTTCTCTTAGTTTCTAGTACTAATAATTTACATCTGTTTTATACGCTTCTTCTGAGATTCTGGTGGGAGGGGGGCAGATGTGGGTTTGATTCACCAATCTGAACTGGAATTATGCTTTCTAATCATTTAATTGCTATTTATTTCATTAATATTGTTTATAATGGTAATTGAGAGAGATTGGTTCCACTCTTCAAGAATAGTAATGGTCACCTAGAACAACTGATATACTGTTCTATGCAGTTAAACTATCAGTTTATGTTACTGGGATTTTATTCAATATATATATTAATTGGTTTAATAATCCATGCCTATTTTAAAGCTATATTTTTACAAATATGAATTAAAAGTAAGTGAAATAGACTACAGTTACCTTTTACTATCAGTTAAAAAAGTAAGATTTTATAAATTTCTTAAATGATTGCTCAATATAGCATGTATTAGGTCAACACAAGAATTCCTACGAGATGCTACTGTTCGTGTTTCATACTTTATTCTTTTATTAGTTTCTAATGAAAGCAGGTGTTTTAACTTCTCTAAAGTGAACTCTTTAGTGAGTCATGCTTATTGTATGACTGTGAAGGAAGATGATTGCTGATTTCTCTTGTCACAAATGACTTCTTTGGCATTAAAGTACTGATCCTGAGCTCAAACATTAACTATGAAATGATTTGGGGGTAGTGTTTAATTTTTGTTATATATTTGTTACTCTATGAAAACTTTGCATGAATATCTTCTGCACTTACCAGGTAATTAGAAGTTATCTAGTATCTGTTGGTAATGTTTGAATTTTAATTTCTTAAAATTAATTTCTACTTACTTAAGTCATTTTTGTTAGGCTTTCCCATTCCCTATATCATGCAATTCTGCCCTTCCTCCCCTTTTTAAATGATGAGGAGCTAATTTTCATTGCCCTTAAGATTTTAGATTGTTGAGTATACTGCCAAGAGCAAAGTTGTTCATATTGGTTGAGGATATACTAAACTAGAGGCCCTTCTCTGGGAATCCTGGTTGACTCAGGAGTGGGATGGGGCACAGAGTGATACTCTTGATATGTATCAAGGAAGAGTCTAGCATTTACCAGTGGAAACTCCTTGACTAAGGCTACCCTCGCTTTAGACTTAAGTAAAGTTAAACATTGTTTCATGATTTATTTAAATTGTCTCTCATCTTCACTTTTTTTGTGTGTGTGAGGATTTTTCCAACGTAACTTTGAAATACAAGGGGATACATTTTGGCAACTCTTTGGGAAGACTAGAGTCACCTGTAAAGTCAGGGCCTGGTCCTGGACAGTATGATATAACCCAGTAAGTAAAAAAATAGTATATCTTTACTGTAGTTTTTGACTGTAAATATTCTAATAAATTAGACCAGGTTACGCTGTTATGAAAGGAAAAATCAGTATGAAAAACTTCAAGAAATGTGATATTTTAGAGTAACCTATATGAAAACTATTGCTTTTCTGTCTGCCAGATCCTGTGCTACCTGTTTTACATGTATTAATTCATCTTCACAAGTCTCTGTGTAGTTACTATTGTTATGCCTATTTTATCAGTGAAAAATGAAAGGGTCAGAGAGAATAAATAATGTATTTGATATTATATAGCTATTAAGTGGCAGAGCTTGACATTGACAGGCCTTTTCGGTTATACAGCCCATGTATCTAAGTACTAAAATATACCGTCTTTAATTACAAGATAGAGAAAAGATCAGAGAAAATATAAAAGAAGGTGATCCAGGACTCTGCATCTTGTTCCTGGCTCTGGTGTCTATTCTTTTGACTACATGATGGATTTAGAAGGCATTCTCAGTATAAGTCAGAGCCATAACATTAGGTTGAAGGTAATATTTATGAAGTCTAACTAGGAAATACATGTCTTGTAAAATAATTCTTTCTGTCTTTATTTTCTCCTACTCTTACAGTAAGGTCTTAGACATGAGTCCATGGAAGGCAAACTGAGTAACAGATATCATGTTGTTCTCAGAATCTATGGCTGCTTTTCATGATTTAATTTTTAACAGGTTCCAGTTTATCTGCCTGATCCTTTCTCTCTTATAGGATGAATTTTCTAGCAGGAAGTCCCACAGTGATTACCTATCCAATTAATTTGCTGGACAGATTCAGACACATCTGTATACCAGCAGTGGATGTAGCTTAGGCTCTTACTTAAACTCCCCTACTACCATTCATTCATTGAACAAACATGGTTTGAATTCTTGCTATGTCTTAGTACTAAACTTAGTAACTAAGAATAAAAAGAATAAAACATGGCCCTTGTATTTGGGAATTTATACCCTATTCTATTGTCCTTTTCATTTTTTCACTCTCCTAATTTGGGTGATATGCCATGTATTTTAATTTTTTTAGTAGTTACACTAGAAGTTTAACATGTATATACAGCTTAATGGGGTCTAAGTTTAATTTTTGTCATTCCAAATAAAAGAAAGTCTGTCAAATGCTCTAACTCTACTCATCCCCTTGACATAATGCTTTTGTTAGTATTTTACTCTTATCTTTTTCTTCCAATTTGGCTGGTTTGCTTTCCTGTCTGTCTGCCTGCTTGCCTGTCAGTTTTATTGAGGTTTAATTAACATTAAGCAAAATTAACCCTTTTTAGGGTATGTGGTTCTGTGATGATTGTTTTCCATCCATTTTACTACACGTCTAAGTACCTCAGGCATGACCAGCACTCTAATTCTATTGCTCTGATTTTGCTTGATAGTTTTTTCCTGATAGTCCTTTTTACTTCTCCAGCCCTGTCCCACTCCCATTCTCCTCCTATTTTTTTTTTTAATAAGTGTGCGCCTGACTTTATTTTTTATTTTTTTCGTCACACCGCTCGGCTTGCGGGATCTTAGTTCCCCCACCAGGGATTGAACCCAGACCTATGCCAGTGAAAGCATGGAGTCCTAACCACTGGACCCACCAGGGAATTCCCTCTCCTTTTTTTTAAATGTCACTTTCTCTTTGATCTTTGTTATTTCCATTGTTTCTTCTTTTCTTCTGTTTGTATTTTCACTTTTGCTAGTAGGAATGTATGCATATAGATTGCATTCCTAACTGCATCAGATATTTCATCATTTCTGTAATTTGCTCTTTGTTTTTGCTGCCTTCACTATCTTTTATTTGGACTTGTCTTGGTTCCTTCTGGTAGTTGATATTTTCTACCTTTTTTTTTTCTACTTTTTGTTTATTGATTGAGTCATAATTATTGTGGATTTGCTATGGTATAAAAATGGAAATACTTGGGTATTTCGAATGGAGAGATGAGCTCATAGGTTTCTTTTTGGGAAAACACAGACCTAAATGATATGTGACCCTTTTGATATCCCAACTATAAATTTTTTATCCATAAAACTATTTTGAAAATAAGTTCATTTGTTGAATTTTGTGCAAAAAAAAAATCAATGAAGTCAGCATTTGACAGTGAACTGAGATGTTATATGCATGTTTAAATCATAGTAATGTCTAAACAAACAAAAAAATGGCAATTATGTAACTTAAACATTTGTTTTTATGTTTTTATATTATCTTTTTTTAATCTTCTTATGTTCAGTATAGTTCACTGGAAGTGTTTAATATGACTTGTTTTTCCTAATTCTTTTTAAGAATTAGGAAAAAAATAACCTATTTAAATATAATTCCTAATAATAGCTAACAGTTATTGTATACTTAATATGGGTTTTGTATGGCAGTAAATACTTCCCATATATTATCCACTTTAATCATTACAACCTTGAGAATTGGTTAATACTATTTCTAATCACAGATGAAGAATCAAATCTGAAGTTTAGAGAGGATGAGTGATTTGTGTAAGGTCACAGAGCTAGTAGGTAGCAATGTTAGGATTCATATCAGGCTGTAACTCCAGAGCTTGGGCTGTTACTCACTGCTTACTTGGTTTATTATTCTTACTTGTGTAAATTTCAATGAAAATAAGCTTCCCTTTCATTTTCAAAGATCTTTCTTTATGCCCTTTTCCTGATTGTTTTATGATATAAATAGCATTGAGTATTTTCCCCTTATTTTAGTTAATAGTTGAAATACCAAGTGATTTGACATTTTAAAGACCTTTTTTGGTGAATAAACTACACGGGAAACTTTTTTTGGTAGCTTTTTATTTAAATTCATGACATATATCCCACATTTTGTTTTCTTTTTGGAATCATTATTAGAATAGGTATATTTTAATGCTCTGAATTGGAAAACGCAGATCTAACCAATATAAATGAATAGATCTGACAGAGTTTAGGATGTATTGACCTAACACACCCAGATATCTTATTGAATACTTTTTAAGCAGGAAATGGTGTAAAAATATTCTCTTAACTTATATAGACATTTATATATTTGAAATTGAGAATAATTTTTTTCTGAATTTTCTAAAGGAAAAAGGCACTACATTATGAAAATATTAACATCAAGAAAGATCAACAGCAAAATCATTGCTCAAATCTCCCATGACTTTATGAAGTAATAATGTTGCAGGAGGAAAAAAAGGTAAGTTGAAAAGTAACTATTTCATCTACTTCCTAGATTTTAAGGTCATTGAATCTTATTATCACACAGAGTACTCTTCTACTGTTCCTCGTAGGTAGTTGTCACTCTGAATTTTGTAGAAGGAACTGAGGAACTGTGTTTAAAATTTTCTTCAAGTTGATCGCTGTCTCTGCTTGAACGCCTCTTGTGATAAAGAACTCAATACCCCCGAGGTTTCTTGTTTCAGTAGTGGACTACTCTGTTTCTTACAATTTCCTTCTTAAACTGACCTAACTTTAGCTGCTTGTTGTCTATTTATTCTCCCTTATCCTATGACTTCTTTTAAATCTCCCTTTAAATCTTTTCTAGTAAGGATAAATGTTCTAAATATCTTTGACTATTCTCAGTATTTAGCTTCAGGATAACTTATTTTCCTTTGACGTTATCTAGGGATCTTCGTTAGTTTTTGAATCTTTCTCTCCTTAAAATATGATTTTGAGAACTAAGAATAATATTTTTGGTGAAGTCTGGTTAGTACATAGTAAGATTTTTACCTTCATTGTTCTAGGTAGTGTATATTTATTAATATAAAAATCTAAATGCCATTAAATATTTTTTGTAGCTATGTTTCAGTTTAATTATTTGGAACTTGTAGGCGCAAAAACCTGGGATTTTTTTCCTCTAGTATATTTAAACTTAAAAGCTTGAAGATTATAGGATAAACATTTCAAAATGGATCATTTAGAGTAAGGATAAATGACTCTCAGTTGAGAAATCAGTGAGTATTTCAATAAGAATTTTCTCGGTCTTCCCCTGAATATTAATCAGCAAGGAAAAATATTGCTTATAGAACTATTAGAAAAAGATACAATAACAGAGTAATATAATGCAATTGTTTTCATAGAATAACAATTATAAATCTCAAACAAGATAAAAAGTGTTAATTTAAAACATGAGAGGCACTGGTTTATGGTTTTCTTGTACTGTGTTTGTCTGGTTTTAGTATTAAGATAATGCTGGCCTCATAAATTGAGTTAGGAAGTATTCCCTCTGCTTATATCTTCTGAAAGAGATTGTAGAGATTGGTATAATATTTTCCCTTAAATGTGTGGTAGAATTCACCAGTGAATCCATCTGGGTGTGATGCTTTTTGTTTTGGAAGGTTATGAATCATTGACTTGATATCTTTAATAGGCATAGACCTATTCAGATCATCTATTTCTTCTCATGAGAATTTGGGAGATTGAGTCTTTTAAGGAATTGGTCCTTTTCATCTAGGTTATCAAATTTATGGGCATAGAATTTTTCATAGTATTCCTTTATTTTAATGCATATGGGAGCTGTAGTGATGTCCCCTCCTTCATTTCTTTTTTTTTTTTTTTTGTGGTACGTGGGCCTCTCACTGCTGTGGCCTCTCCTGTTGCGGAGCACAGGCTCCGGATGCACAGGCTCAGCAGCCATGGCTCAAGGGCCCAGCCGCTCCGCGGCATGTGGGATCTTCCCGGACCGGGGCACGAACCCGTGTCCTCTGCATTGGCAGGCGGACTCTCAACCACTGTGCCACCAGGGAAGCCCCCCCTCCTTCATTTCTGATATCAGTAATTTGTATCCTCTCTCTTCTTTCTTAGTTTGCCTGGCTAGAGGTTTATAAATTTTTTTTTGAATTTTATTTATTTTTTTTATACAGAATGTTCTTATTAGTTATGCATTTTACACATATTTGTGTATACATGTCAATCCCAATCTCCCAATTAATCCCCCACCCCCACTGCCGCTTTTCCCCATTGGTGTCCATATGTTTGTTGTCTACATCTGTGTCTCAATTTCTGCCCTGCAAACCAGTTCATCTGTACCATTTTTCTAGGTTCCACATATATGCGATAATATACGATATTTGTTTTTCTCTTTCTGACTTACTTCACTCTGTATGACAGTCTCTAGATTCACCCACGTCTCTACAAATGAGCCAGTTTTGTTCCTTTTTATGGCTGAGTAATATTCCATTGTAAATAGGTGCCACATCTTCTTTATCCATTCGTCTGTTGATGGGTATTTAGGTTGCATCCATGATCTGGCTATTGTAAATAGTGCTGCAATGAACATTGGGGTGCATGTGTCTTTTTGAATTACTGTTTTCTCTGGCTATATGCCCAGTAGTGGGATTGCTGGGTCATATGGTAATTCTATTTTTAGTTTCTTAACTAACTTCCATGCTGTTCTCCATAGTGACTGTATCAATTTACATTCCCACCAACAGTGCAAGAGGGTTACCTTTTCTCCACACTCTCTCCAGCACTTGTTGTTTGTAGACTTTCTGATGATGCCCATTTTAAGTGGTGTGAGGTTATACCTCATTGTAGTTTTGATTTACATTTCTATAATAATTAATGATGTTGAGCAGCTTTTCATGTGCTTCTTGGCCATCTCTATGTCTTCTATGGAGAAATGTCTATTTAGGTCTTCTGCCTATTTTTTGACTGGGTTGTTTGTGTTTTTAACATTAAGCTGCATATATATTTTGGAGATTAATCCTTTGTCCGTTGATTTGCTTGCAAATATTTTCTCCCATTCTAAGGGTTGTTTTTTCATCTTGTTTGTAGTTTCTGTTGCTTTGAAATGCTTTTGAGTTTCATTAGGTCCCATTTACTTATTTTTGTTTTTATTTCCATTACTCTAAGAGGTGGGTCAAAAAAGATCTTGCTGTGATTTATGTCAAAGTGTGTTTTGCCTATGTTTTCCTCTAAGAGTTTTATAATGTCTGGTCTTACATTTAGGTCTCTAATCCATTTTGAGTTTATTTTTGTTTATGGTGTTAGGGAGTGTTCTAATTTCATTCTTTTACATATAGCTGTCCAGTTTTCCCAGCACCACTTATTGAAGAGACTGTCTTTTCTCCATTGTATATCCTTGCCTCCTTTGTCATAGATTAGTTGACCATAGGTGCGTGGGTTTATCTCCGAGCTTTCTATCCTGTTCCATTGATCTATATTTCTCTTTTTGTGCCAGCACCACATTGTCTTGATTACTGTAGCTTTGTAGTATAGTTTGAAGTCAGGGAGTCTGATTCCTCCAGCTCCGTTTTTTTTTTCCCTCAAGATTGCTTTGGCTATTCGGGGTCTTTTGTGTCTCCATACAAATTTTAAGATTTTTTGTTCTAGTTCTGTAAAAAATGCCATTGGTAATTTGATAGGGATTGCATTGAATCTATAGATTGATTTGGGTAGTATAGTCATTTTCACAATATTGATTCTTCCAATCCAAGAACATGGTATATCTCTCCATCCGTTGGTATCATCTTTAATTTCTTTCTTCAGTGTCTTATAGTTTTCTGCATATAGGTCTTTTGTCTCCTTTGGTAGGTTTATTCCTAGGTATTTTATTCTTTTTCTTGCAATGGCAAATGGGAGTGTTTCCTTAATTTCTCGTTCAGATTGTTCATCATTAGTGTATAGGAATGCAAGAGATTTCTGTGCATTAATTTGGTATCCTGCAACTTTACCAGATTCATTGATTAGCTTTAGTAGTTTTCTGGTGGCATCTTTAGGATTCTCTATGTATGGTATCATGTCATCTGCAGACAGTGACAGTTTTACTTCTCCTTTTCCAATTTGTATTCCTTTAATTTCTTTTTCTTCTCTGATTGCTGTGGCTAGGACTTGCAAAACTATGTTGAGTAATAGTGGTGAGAGTGGACATCCTTGTCTTGTTCCAGATCTTAGAGGAAATGCTTTCAGATTTTCACCATTTTGAACGATGTTTGCTGTGGGTTTGTCATGTATGGCCTTTATTATGTTGAGGTAGGTTCCCTCTATACATACTTTCTGGAGAGTTTTTATCATAAGTGGGTGTTGAGTTTTGTCCAAAGCTTGTTCTGCATCTACTGAGATGATCATGTGGTTTTTGTTCTTCAGTTTGTTAATATGGTGTATCACATTGATTGATTTGCGTATATTGAAGAATCCTTGCATCCCTGGAATAAATTGCGCTTGATCATGGTGTATGACCCTTTTCATGTGTTGTTGGACTCTGTTTGCTAGTATTTTGTTGAAGATTTTTGCATCAATATTCATCAGTTATATTGGACTGTAATTTTCTTTTTTTGTAGTAACTTTGTCTGGTTTAGGTATAAGGGTGATGGTGGCCTCATAGAATGAGTTTGGCAGTGTTGCTTCCTCTGCAATTTTTTGGAAGAGTTTGAGAAGGATGGGTGTTAGCTCTTCTCTAAATGTTTGATAGAATTCACCTGTGAAGCCATCTGGTCCTGGACTTTTGTTTGTTGGAAGATTTTTAATCACAGTTTCAATTTCATTACTTGTGATTGGTCTGTTCATATTTTCTATTTCTTCCTGGTTCAGTCTTGGAAGGTTATACCTTTATAAGAATTTGTCCATTTCTTCCAGGTTGTCCATTTTGTTGGCATAGAGTTGCTTGTAGTAGTCTCTTAGGATGCTTTGTATTTCTGCGGTGTCTGTTGTACCTTCTCCTTTTTCATTTCTAATTTTATTGATTTGAGTCCTCTCCCTCTTTTTCTTGATGAGTCTGGCTAATGGTTTATCAATTTTGTTTATCTTCTCAAAGAACCAGCTTTTAGTTTTATTGATCTTTGCTATTTTCTTTGTTTCTATTTCATTTATTTCTGCTCTGATCTTTATGATTTCTTTCCTTCTGCTAACTTTGCGTTTTGTTTGTTCTTCGTTCTCTAGTTCCTTTAGGTGTAAGGTTAGATTGTTTATTTGAGATGTTTCTTCTTTCTTGAAGTACGCTTGTATTGCTATAAGCTTCCCTCTTAGAACTGCTTTTGCTGTATCCCATAGGTTTTGGATTGTCATGTTTTCATTGTCATTTGTCTCTAGGTATTTTTTGATTTCCCCTTTGATTTCTTCAGTGATCTCTTGGTTATTTAGTAACGTATTGTTTAGCCTCCATGTGTTTGTGTTTTTTACGTTTTTTTCCCTGTAATTTCTAATCTCATAGTGTTGTGGTCAGAAAAGATACTTGATATGATTTTAATTTTCTTAAAT